TAATGGCTTTGAGCATTTAAGTGGATGACAGTAAACCTGATTTGACAGATATCCAGGAAGATGATTTCAGTGTACCTATCATTAAAAATTAAACTCAGCAGGGTTGTGAATGTTTCAAAAAAGATCCCGAAGCACAAATGCTATAAATCTCATTAAAACAGGTAACTTTTTTTCCTCCGGGTTTCTACGTGAGCCTGCAAAAGAGGCGATCCGGCTTTGAGATCCACAATGACCTGCTTGAAGGGATTTCTTGAAGCAGTAGCTTTTGCTGAATTGATTCAAGGTTGTTGTGTTTGTTTGTTTTTTTGTTTTTTTGCCGAAGCTTGAAAAAAGTTGCGCAACTTTGATGAACAGCGGAGGGATGCCTACGTCCACACAAATTGCCAATGCACTTCTTCTAGCTCTTAAGTAAAATATTTACAGCCCTCAAGTTTATGACTGTGATTTTGGATGCAATCCGGTGTCAAAAGCAGCTTGAATAAGAACCAGTTGCTACATATCCACTATAAGATGCTCGCGTTAGAAAAGAAACCAATGAAAAGTTCAGAGTTGGTTCTGCCTGCTCTTTGGATATTGACCTGGTTGTGCTGAGTGACTAAGTGACTCAGTGACCCTTGGCATCTGAAAATTTATTAAGCCAGGCTTGGTAAGCAATGAGCAGGCAAGGGAACCCATCGATTTCAACGCCCCTCCGCCCGATTTACTGAACAGCCCTCCGCACCATGACCAGCATTTGGGAGCAAGGACAGTACGCACGCCGCCCGGGGGATGGAATGGCTACCATCCCAGGGGCCGTACAACCCCCCCCCCGCCCAGGACACGACAGTGAAGACAGCAAGAAAGGGGGAGGTAACATCTTTGAGACCCCCACCATGCCACCGCACCTGTTCGGACTGGCGCAATGTAACCACACCCCCGAAGGACACGCAAGGGGCTAACACCCGTAGCCGCTCCACCATAGGACTAGTAACGCGCTCCCTGGCAGCAGCGCAGCGAAGGCGTGAGGGGGAGAAAGCCACCGGCAAAGTAGGAACGGCATCGGGCCCCGTAGAAGGAGAGAAGGGAGGTTGCCGATCGGATGTAGTATCGGAACGGGTGCCCGTGGGAACGCCCACCACCCCCACGGTTGAACAACGGAACCTGCGGACTGATCTGGGTGATGGGTTGGGGGTTGGTGGGAGGGACGGGAGGAAGGTCCCCATCGGAGGTAGGAACGGCACGGGTATCAGTGAAATGGAAGGAAAGAACACAGTGGGGGTTGTGAGTGGATGCAGGATCCCTAAGACTGGCCAAGATTTGTTTTTTAACGAATAGCTTTTTTTCATTTCTTTTTTCCCCCAAGGGAACAGCTTCTGAATAATGAAGCTTCCAGCCTGTTGCATAGCAACTTAACTCACTAAACATGTAGCAGGTGTAACATATGGAATACGGGATGATGTCAAAGCCATGTCGGTTCTTCCGACAAGTGGTTTTTTTTAAGTGATTGCAACATGTGTGAGCTGAGGGAGAGTCTTCCCTGTCTTCCAAGTTCGTTATTTTGACTAATTTTATGAGTTTTCAGAAAAGGACACAAAGTTAAAAGATAAATACAATTAGCATATTAGCCATTGTCTATCCACTGCAGGATGAAGGCACTTTCTGCATGTTTCCAACCAATATACACACAAACACAGTATATATAAATAGAGGGGGGGAAGAGAGAGAGAGAGAGAGAGAGAGAGAGAGAGAGAGAGAGAGAGAGGAAGGAAAGAAAGAAAGAAAGAAAGAAAGAAAGAAAGAAAGAAAGAAAGAAAGAAAGAAGGAAGGAAGGAAGGAAATACTTTGTGCCTGAGAATTTAATCCAAAATTAAAAGCCTCCAGTTTTTTAGTCTCTGCCAAGCCTGAAAGCAACTGTTTATTTTTCATTGGGATGCTATTTTATGAATACAGCTAAAAAGTTTGTAGAAGTAGGCTGATAAATGGTTTCACTTTCCCATCATTCTCAAGAGTGTCTGTTGTTTATATTAGCCATCGAAAAGTGTTTTAAATTAACACCTTGGCCTGGGGGGATGGTAGTGTGCTTGCAAACAGGCTCATTTTGTTTTCTGCAGATAAACCATTCAAATGTGCTAATTTGGATAAGTAAAAGCTTTCCTGGGTTTAACTGGAGACTTCGGGGGGGGGGGGGGAGATGCATCGCGTGCATTTGATGCCAACCGTTTATAGAGGAAATCCTGGCTAAGCTCTTTCTAAATTCTGGGGTCTTGGGTATTCTCTGAGCTTGGTTGTTTTCTTGCAGATGTTTCATGACCCAACTAGGTAATATCATCAATGCTGGAAGGGCTTGCTCTCTGTTTATATACAAGTGGTCTGGCCGGTCCACTCCCTTCTAGCATTGATGATGTTACCTAATTGGGTCATGAAACAGCTGCAAGAAAAATAGCTCAGAAATCACCAAGGACCCCACAGTTCTCCTCCTCCTCCTCCTCCTCCTCCTCCTCCTCCTCCTCC